TTCCTTCTGGAATCCAAACCCTATATCAGTGTCCAACCCCATTTAGACTTCCCCTGTCTCTGGACTCCAGTTAACAATGTTTCCCTTCTGATTATTGATCCATTACATACATTTCATTTCTGATATGCATTATTGGTGATCCATCCTACTTACTAATAGACTTTGCATATGCTTCGTGCATAGCCTTTGTGTTTGCTGACTGATTCCTATATGATACCTACAGTATATAAACCTCCTGTAACTCTCGGAAATACTTCAGTTCAAATATCATCTTAGTTCTTGCTCATTCCTGTGTCCTCCAGACTTGAGCCAAGTCTCTTGTCATATTCTGAGTCTTAGGATTGTATCCTAGACTACATCTCCAGCTCTACCTTAGGGTAGTCTATCCCCTGTTAGTTTCTAGTCCAGACTTTGTCCAGATTAGTCTTATCTGCTTGTCCAAGTAACATCCAGACGTCCGTTGGATTTATGTCATGTTTCAGATCTGGATGTCCATTATCCACCCTAGTCAAATCCTGGAAACTCCAGACAACTATTCTAGCCCCTGGAAATTAAGGGCACATACTCAGGAAAGGGGCACAGCATATGAGCTGAGGCCCAGCCCTTGTGATCTGACTCCCTTGAGCACACAACCTTAACATGTCCCCTATGTCTCTGTCCCAAGTCTAGGGATTGCTTCCCTAGGCTGGAGTCTTGCCTTTCTGGCACTTACCCTCTCTCTGGACTTTGGTCCACTTCCTGTCTCTCTGACTCTACCTTAGGGTAGTCTACCTCTGTTTGTTTCTATATTGGACTCTGTCTGATGTAGCCCCTATTCCTTCCAGACCTCTGGATGTCCTGTCTTTCGGATGTTCTGCCCTTCATACCTTTGGACATCCCATCCTCCTAACCCTCAGACATCCTGTCCTCCATACCTCCATGTCCTGTCCTGAGTACCTCTGGACATCTTGTCCTTTGGACTTCCAGAACTTCAGTCCTCCTGTCCTCCATACTCCAGACCTCCAGACATCCTGTCCTCCTGTCCTCCAGACCTCCTATCCTTTCATCCTGTTTCCTGTAGAAGTATTACCTTGCAGTGGGAACTCTCCTGAGCACTTCCTGCATTCCTCCAGGACTCTCCCATGCTCCTCTGGAAGTCCTCTAGCACTCTCCACCAGAGTAGCCATCCTCTGGAAGTCCTTCAGACTTTGTCGGACCATCATTGGACTTCCTCTGAAATGAAGGGCACATACTCAGGTAAGGGGTACAGCATACGAGCTGAGGCCAAGCCCCTCTGAGTCAGTCTCTCTCTTCCTTGAGCATGGTTCTTAACAGGTGGATATAGTCCTGAATCTGAGACAAGGTGAAGCCTGGATGTCTTGCTGGATGGGATAGGGTGGTACAGATCAGGCTAGCAGTGAGGATCCGGAGGTCCAGAGCTCAGGGGTAAATCCAGAGCGGAGTCAATCCTGCTGAGGTGTGGAGTACACAGTGGAAAGGGATCTGGGAATGAGTCAGATATGGGGTCCAGACATAGGCTCAGAAGGTGTGGGAATATTATGGATTGTGGGTCCAGATTGTGGGATATGTCATTTTACCTGTACCTATGCTCTACCCTACAAGTGAGTCAGCTGATACAAAAGTTATTATATGGGATGTGGAGACTGGCACTGTTCTCTCAGCACTCCAGGATAATCTGGGCAGGGTGTTTTGTGTCACCTTCAGCCCAGATGGGCTAAAGTTAGCATCAAGGGGTTTTACCATTTGGGTTTGGAGCACCAATAATGCTGAGCTTCTGTTGGACATTGATGCCCACACTACTTGGGTTCAAAGCATTGTGTGGTTACCTGAAAGCCAGCAACTTGTTTTTGCATCAAATGATGAAACAATCAAGTTTTGGGACTTGTTGAATGGGACCCAGATTGGTCAACCTTGCACTGGTCACATGTCCTGCATCAAGTCACTTGCCATCTCTTCCAATGGCTCCTTCATTACATCCACCTTAGACAATAAGACTGTGTACCTGTGGAATGCAAAGCCACACAAGCAGATAGGACAGGTACTCAAACATGCCACATATGTTATCTGCATTGCAATTTCTCCCAGTAGAGAACTGCTTGTGAGTGGAGACTTGAGTGGAAGTCTTGTGCTCTGGTCAATCAAGAATGCAGTTTCAGCAGTTGTTCAGCTGTACTCCCCATCTGACTCTTACACTATTGTTGGGTGAAGTTGGGCCAAAGCTCTATGTGGAGGCCTTTTTGGATGCAGAAAAGGTGCAGTCAATATCCATCATTGATTTGACAAATGTAATGATGTTCGCAGGTCATTAAGCTCAATCCTTTATCTTATCTTGGGTATGAACTGAAGCATGCATTGCTTCATGGAGCACAGTGCTATGATGATGCATTCAGGGCCTTCAAAATGATGCTCTCCAAGTTAGACAGTGATGCACAGATGCAAAGTGAGCCCAAAATCACTTACTATGTCTATGTCAGTATCATGGATTCGTTCTCCAGAGCTATGGCAGAAATTCATTAGTGCATTTGAAGTGCTGGAAGCCACTGTTCAATGAGCCATTCATGCTCAACTGGAAAATGCCCCCTGTTGTCTAATCAGCACCTCTACTGAACATTTGTGCAATAGAGATGTGCAGATCAACACATTCATTGGAAGCACAGAGTACAAAGAGCTCTTTTCTCCATCAGTAATACATGGCCCCCTCCAAACAGAGCTAATCAAAGAAGTGGTTGTGAAGTACTTCAGCTGCATCAGCAAAACTGCTGAAATGAATACTTAGCTTAAGTGCATTACAGATACTTATGAACACTTACAACTTCAGTAATGCACTCATCTGATTGGTGGAGAACTCAGGTGCTAATATGCTTTACAGGAATCTGTTAAGAACCATGCTCAAGGGAGAGAGAGACTGACTCAGAGGGGCTTGGCCTCAGCTCATATGTTATGCCCCTTACCTGAGTATGTGCCCTTCATTTCAGAGGAAGTCCAATGATGGTCTGACAAAGTCTGGAGGACTTCCAGAGAAGTGTGGGAAACATCTGTAGGAGCGTGGGAGAGTTCCGGAGGAATGCAGGAAGTGCTCAGGAGAGTTCCCACTGCAAGGTAATACTTCTACAGGAAACAGGATGGAAGGGTAGGAGGTCCAGAGGACAAGATGTCTGAGGGTTAGGAGGACAGGACATCTGAAGGTACAGAGGGTGGAAGGTACAGAGGTATGGAGGGCGGAACATCCAAAGGACAGGATGCTTGGAGGTATGAGGGACAGGACATCTGGAGGTACAGAAGACAGGAGGTCCAGAGGTCTGGAAGGAATAGGGGCTACATTGGACAAAGTCTGATGTAGAAGCAAACAGAGGTAGACTACCCTTAGGTAGAGTCAGAGAGACAGAAAGTGGACCAAAGTCCAGAGAGAGGGTAAGTGCCGGAAAGGCAAGACTCCAGCCTAAGGAAGCAATCCCTAGACTTGGGACAGAGACATAGGGGACAAATCCGAAGGTCTGGAATTCCAGCCTAGGGAATCCATCCCTAGGCCTTATGGAAAAGGACAAGTCTCAGATGGACTGAAGTCCAGAAGATGATTGGGCAGATCTAAGGTGATGAGGACAGATCTAAGATGATATTCAGACTGAGGACTCTACAGGAGTTGTACAGGGGTTATATACTAGAGGATATCTGAGAGGATCTGGAAGTACTGCACATATAAGAGAGGTGTGGCTTTGGGATAGCAAGGCAAAGTGTGGCCTTTCTTGGTGATAGGTTGAAAAATGCAATGCACTTGTGCAATGTAGATGTCTGTGCAGATCCATAAGTACATAAATGACACCTGCAACCAAAGTCTTACCATTTGTCATATTCCATATGCCAGACATAGATCCCATCATATTCCCACGCTTTCCGGACCTATTTCCGGACCCCATATCCAACTCATTCCTGGATCCCCTATCCTGTCCACCCTATGCACATTCCGTCCAGCAAGACATCCAGACTTTACCTCCTCTCGGATTCCGGACTACATCTACCACCTCACATATCTCAGTCCTGTTTCCACCCTGCCTTCTGGATCCCCAGATCTCCGGACCTATTCCCACCCTCCATCCAAGATCCTGCGCCTATCCCCATTTAGGCATCTCTGCCTTTCTGGTTCTTGGTTATCTCTGTTTCCATCTTGCTGATTGATCCTTGTACTAGTTTCATCTCCGAGTTCATTTACTTATGTTCCGTCTTACTTACCAATGTGTTTCCACATGCTTGTACATAGCCTTACTCTGTTGCTTACTGATCCTCTCAGATATCCTCTAGTATATAACCCCTGTACAATTCCTGTAGAGTCCTCAGTCTGAATATCACCTTAGACTTGCCCAATCTTCTTCTGGACTTCAGTCCATCTGAGTTTGTCCTTTTCCATAAGGCCTAGGGATGGATTCCCTAGGCTGGAATTCCAGACCTTCAGATTTGTCCCCTATGTCTCTGTCCCAAGTCTAGGGATTGCTTCCCTAGGCTGGAGTCTTGCCTTTCCAGCACTTACCCTCTTTCCAGACTTTGGTCCACTTCCTGTCCCTCCAACTCTACCTTAGGGTAGTCTACCTCTGTTTGCTTCTACATCAGATGAAGTCCAATGTAGCCCCTATTCCTTCTGGACCTCTGGACCTCCTGTCTTCTGTACCTCCAGACATCCTGTCCCTCATACCTCCAGGCATCCTGACCTTCGGACATTCTGCCCTCCATACCTCTGTACCTTCCACCCTCCATACTTCTGGACCTCCTGTCCTCCGTACTCCAGACCTCCAGACATCCTGTCCTCCTGTCCTCTGGACCTCCTATCCTTCCATCCTGTTTTCCTGTAGAAGTATTACCATGCAGTGGGAACTCTCCTGAGCACTTCCTGCATTCCTCCGGAACTCTCCTGCACTCCTCTGGACGTTTCCCGCGCTCCTCTGGAAGTCCTCCCGCACTCTCCACCAGAGTAGCCAACCTCCAGAAGTCCTCCAGACTTTGTCAGACCATCATTGGACTTCCTCTGAAATGAAGGACACATACTCGGGTAAGGGGCACAGCATATGAGCTGAGGCCAAGCCCCTCTGAGTCAGTCTCTCTCTCCTTTGAGCATGGTTCTTAACACCATTGCTCTCAGACAATTGGACAAAAACAGCATCACAGTTGCCCAAAGGGAATACCTCTGAGGGTGGATATGCCTGGGTGATCTGGCTTGGCATGATGACTTGCGACTGGAAGGTGGATACAAGCTGTATGTGAAATTTGTTCCACATCTGAACAGAATCTCTTTGGGAGTTCCAAGATGTTGTCAGGTCATGTTGTAACATCTTGTTGATGTATTCCATGAATATCACAGTGAAATCAGGAAGGGAATATCTGCATTGGAGATTGTGAAGGGTGGATGACTTTTGATCTGGGGTGATCATAACTTGAAATGCAGCCTTGGCTTCTGCAGAGAGGATTCCTTTTAAAAAATGGTTATGGATAGGATGTGGGCCATGAAAGTGATATTGTTGATTTGGGAGTACATGGGCTATCCATGTTAAGGTAGGATCGGTCTCTGCAATGATGTCATCTTCAGTCATGATGGCATTCAAGAGAGGTGTGCTGTGCATCTGCAAAAGGGTGTAGAGATTGAAACAATGCATTTTTTCATTGCAGTGAAGGTTCAACAACTCTGCTGGCTTGCAGAGCAGAAGAAAGAAAGGGGGCTCTCACTCTGGGGTGAGAGAAAGCCTACTAACTCTCTAGTTGTTGGTCAAAGTGCACCAAGCAATGTGTTTGACCCTTAAGGGAAGCAAGGAAAGCAAATATCCACAAAGTGACACCAGGTCAACTCTGGTGAAGCATGTGCAGGAATATGGAGTGCATAGGTGTGTGAAGCATAGGAATAAGGTGCATGCAGTGCACGAACATATAAAAGACTGATAGATGGCATGAAGATGTGAACTGGGGACTGCTGAGAGAAGACTGATGATGATGGGCTGTCACTGCAGGCATATTCCCATTTTTCTCCAACAAACATCTAAAAAACATTGATTGAGAAGATAGAAATTTCCTCCCATGTTGCCTATCAAAACATTGTAAAAATTAATTCATGTGTTGAAGATTTTTTTTGCATGGGACATGATGCAAAAATTGGACATGTTCCTTCAAGGATAATACTAGATTTTCCATCTATTTTCTTTTAAACAGCAGCTTTCAATGAGGTTAAAATTTTTGTCTGTGTTTTCAAATATACACAAAACATTTGAAAAACATAGTATCTTTGGACAAAAATTTAACATTATTGTAAGTTGCTACTTAAAGGACAATAGATAGAAAATCCATTATTATTGTTATGAACTAGGATAGTTCTAACGACAGATGACTCAATAAGAGTCAGGACCTCTGCCAAGATTCTACACGAGATGATAAGTCAAGTGTTCAGTGTAAGCTAAGACAGAAGGAGTGCTTCTATCTTAAAGTATGATTCAGATGACAAGAGATTGGAGGTCTCAAGTGAAGGAGATTTCAGGTAAAACCTAGTAAGATTAAAGTACCGAACTAAAGCATACAGGAGAGCTATATATAGGAACTACAAGAGCTTTAGGGCAGGCATGAGAATGGATATGAGTCAGAGATAAGGGACACGTAAGTGATAGCAAGAATAGGTCACCTAATGACAGCAATAGCGATTGTGATGTAATACACATGAGTCAGAGATAAGTCTAGCAGTGGCAGCATGTGGCACATGACGTAATACACAGTAAAGAGAGAGAAAATGAATAGGGGTGTACATGGTTGTAACAATTATGCTTGAAGGAACATGTCCAATTTTTGCATCATGTCCCATGCACAGAAAATCTTTAACACATGAATTAATTTTTTTCAATGTTTTGACAGGCAACATGAAAGGAAATTTCTATCTTCTCAATCAATGTTTTTTGGAGAAAAATGGGAAAATGCCTGCAGTGTGTACTGAGGACTAGGGCAATGACTAATGCATACTGGCTGAAGATAGATTCTCACTCTAGAGACTAACTGACATGATGGTGGTTGATAGTTGAAAAACTTCCTAGGCAACAGGTAAGCTGTGCCTAGGTGCACTCCCAGGGCTCAGAAGTGAATAGGGAGCACTCTATGTATGTAAAATGATGTAATGTAAGGGTCCATGATGGAATAAAATATTGTATGATGCCAGAAATGTCTGATATGAGAATAAATGAGAAAGGACACACCAGGGAACTGGTTAGACAATGGATGGAGGCTCCAGGATGCTGTGCAGCAAAGTACAACCAAGTGTGGTGTCATGCATGGTATGGAGTTCATACCATGACATATATAAGAAGAAGTATAGAAGGAGATGATTAGGAGAGTGTATGAGGATATATTTCTCACTCATGAGCTTAGTCATCTATTTCCCTTTATTTATTTAGTTGTATTTATAGTTTCAGCCACTTGATTACATCAGTGAACCACTCAGATATGTTTGTAAGCATGTCATGTGACTGGTAATATTCTGATTTGTAAGGATTTTTCCATGACTTATCATGATTTGTCATGCTTTGTAATATTTTACTCATGTACTTTAGTAAGCAGCTGATTCAGCACACCAAAAGGCTTGGTTTGTAAGCATATTCTTACCAATCCAGTGATGAGTCATTGCTTAGTAAGGATGGTTTCTAATATGTATATAAGGACTCCATTCTCACATAATCAACAAGTTTCTCCCTCTTCTTTCTTGTCTCAAACCATGAGATTCATAAGATTTGAAGTGCAGGAGTTTTCCCTCTTTCTGTCTCAATAGTGTGAGATTACAAAGAAAGTGAAGGCCTTGAGATTGCATTTGAAAACTATAGTATTTCTAGTCTAGATTGGTTGTATACTATCTTACAGGGATCACCTATACAACAGTCTATTATATTCAATTCAGCAGAGGTTCATACAGTGGCTCAAAAAACTGTCTGCATGTTTTGACATTTTTCACTATCTATGATATTGTGTGAGACTGAACAAATGCCTCAAGGACATGGTTATACCACATTGTAGTATGGCTTCAGGGCTTTCATTTGAGCCCTACACCGTGGGAATCGGTGGAGATATGGTGGAGACATAAGGCTTACAAAATCATGACTCATGCGGACAGTTTTTTGAGCACATATTAAAACTATATAAATCATCATTTATGACACCATAACAATCATGCAACCATTAAATAAATTATAAAGTGGTGTCATGATGTCATTTTAAAACCATATCTAACTATACAAACCAAAAATTTCCATATGTCATGGTTATATTCACCATGAAAGCCACCCCCCCTGCTCAAAGGGATAATATCCTCTCTCTTTCCTATTCTGGCCTCTCTGCTTGTCAAATTTCCTCTAGAACTGGAGTATCCAAGTCCACTGTGGCCAAGTTCATCAAAGAAAGTCACACAGACAAGGAAAACTTCTGTGAAGGGTGTCCATCCAAGCTCACCTCTACTGATAGGAGGGCTGTTATTCAACATATCACTACAGGAAAGGCTGATAATGCTGTCCAGGTCACCTATTACATCAATTCCACCATCACATTCCCTGTCTCTTCACACACTGTGAGAAACATTCTCAAGACAGCTCATCTCAGGTCAGTAACAAGGAAGAAAAGGCTCTCCTCTCTATCACACATAAACAGAGATGACTAACCTTTGCCTTAGCCCATCAGAATTGGATTACATGGACTGGAAGCATGTTATATGATCATATAAGACCACAATAAATAGGATTGGGTCAGATGGCAAGGTATATATGTGAAAAAAGAAGGGTGCTAGTCCTCTCTGCATATGTGTGATAGAGAGGAGAGCCTTTTCTTCCTTGTTACTGACCTGAGATGAGCTGTCTTGAGAATGTTTCTCACAGTGTGTGAAGAGACAGGGAATGTGATGGTGGAATTGATGTAATAGGTGACCTGGACAGCATTATCAGCCTTTCCTGTAGTGATATGTTGAATAACAGCCCTCCTATCAGTAGAGGTGAGCTTGGATGGACACCCTTCACAGAAGTTTTCCTTGTCTGTGTGACTTTCTTTGATGAACTTGGCCACAGTGGACTTGGATACTCCAGTTCTAGAGGAAATTTGACAAGCAGAGAGGCCAGAATAGGAAAGAGAGAGGATATTATCCCTTTGAGCAGGGGGGGTGGCTTTCATGGTGAATATAACCATGACATATGGAAATTTTTGGTTTGTATAGTTAGATATGGTTTTAAAATGACATCATGACACCACTTTATAATTTATTTAATGGTTGCATGATTGTTATGGTGTCATAAATGATGATTTATATAGTTTTAATATGTGCTCAAAAAACTGTCCGCATGAGTCATGATTTTGTAAGCCTTATGTCTCCACCATATCTCCACCGATTCCCACGGTGTAGGGCTCAAATGAAAGCCCTGAAGCCATACTACAATGTGGTATAACCATGTCCTTGAGGCATTTGTTCAGTCTCACACAATATCATAGATAGTGAAAAATGTCAAAACATGCAGGACAGTTTTTTGAGCCACTGTATTACCTACTAGGTTTCAGTTAACCTGACAAAATATACTACTCCTTTACTATCAAGAAGTGATCTATCAAAGAAGTAATTTATTACCCTTTGGTCATCCACAAACAACACATTATTAACTGAGAAGTAGAAAATCTGTTGACTGTGAACTTGAGGAGCTGGCACCTTAGTCTTATTGAAGTACAATTGTGATAGTCATTGTATTTCACCTCAACTTATATAAGACCCTCAAGTAAGAAGACAGTGGGAAGAGCACACTGAGCACATGCATGGGAATGCGTCACATAATGCAGGAAAATGTTGCACCTCTGGTGTGTTTTGCAGGAAAGTCATAGGGAGTGAGTTGTGCACTGTACCAGTTGTCATGAGTCAAAATATGTGTGATCTACACCTGGAGGAATCTTGTTCTCTACAGTGGTTCAGAATTTGAACAACCTGTAAAGTAAAAAGTCTTTGCCTGTCAACTAGTCCTTTTGAATGGGAATTTACAGTGGGTAATTAAAGAGTCATTCACTGACATCAGACAAGTATTGAATCAACCTGCCATTGTCTTTGATAGACCCAGCAAAGGAGTGAAATAATTCCATCTTCAGGATCAAGATATTCGTGATCATCCCACTCTTGCCTCTCTGAGCACCCACATTGAGGATTGCTTGTTTGAGTCTGTGAAACTCACTGAGTAACTTGACCATTGCACATTTGGATGAGTTGGTGTGCACAGGGCTTTGTGCTTGGTAGATGAATTCAGTGAGTACATGGATGGCTTGGTATTAAGAACCATGCTCAAAGGAGAGAGAGACTGACTCAGAGGGGCTTGGCCTCAGCTCGTATGCTGTGCCCCTTACCTGAGTATGTGCCTTTCATGTCAGAGGAAGTCTGATGATGTTCTGATGAAGTCCAGAGGACTTCTGGAGGCTGGCTACTCTGGTGGAGTGCTAGAGGACTTCTGGAGGAGCACGGGAAATGTCTGGAGGAGCACAGGAGAGTTCCCACTGCAAGGTAGTACTTCTACAGGAAACAGAATGGAAGGGTAGGAGGTCCAGAGGTCTGGAGGACAGGAGGACAGGATGTCTGGAGGTATGGAGGACAGGAGGACTGAAGGTCCAGAGGACAGGA